GGGGCAGGTTTCATAGTTTCGGTCCCTTGCCTGTCTCTCTGTAGGCACCAGCACCTGAGAAGAGTTTGACTTGGGTCCAGATACCCTTGTGTGTGACTCTCCTTGTGCTGTGGGAAGGGCCCCAGACCAGATTGAGGAGTGTGGGGTTGAGTCCTGACTCGGCACGTTAGTGGCAAGCCCCTGACCTTTCCAAACAGCCCTCTTCTTGTCCAGGCACTAGGGATAACCCCGGGTATAGCAGGTGGTAGGGAGCCCAGAAGTTGAGGCAGGATTGCCTGGTTGAGGCCAGATGCTACCACTTCGGAACTGCATGGCCCGGCCTGCTACCTCCGGTCTCTGTGAGTGTGGATGACAGTAGTGCCCAGGCATGAGATGTGGGATGAAACGTAGTGTTTAGCATCGTGCCAGGCACAGAGGAGTAGCTCGGTAATGTTAGTTTATGTCCTCAGCACTGGTTGTTACTTTTCCAGTCTTCTCGAGGCTCAGATGACATTGAGGTTGTCCGAATGCTCATGATAAGGGGAAGACCTGGGGGGCCATCTCTCCCATAGTTCTTTGCTGAATTTAATTCCAAGATTTTCTGGAAAATTGGTTCCAAGGCCAACCATTTTTCCACCAGACTTTTTTTTTTTTTTTTACTTTGATCTTCTGTGTGGTATTGCTGACAAATTTTCAGAGGCAAGGCTTTCTGAAGTACCAGAAAACCACAGGATTGCGTGCCCGTGCCTGCTCTGCAACATGCCCCCCTGGGTTTTCTTTGGCAGGAATGCTTCACGTATGTCCTCAAGGGCCACATAGCTGTGAGCGCAGCCATTTTCCCAACCGGAACCAAAGGTAGGTGGTTCCTTCTGTCACATGGCAGCCTTTTCCCATCCAAGCATCATACACATCTGAGTGGAAGAAAAGAGGGCCTTCTCTCTCAGTGTCAGCCCCCAGCCCCAGCCAGGTTACAGGGTGGGGTGCTGCATGGAGTGAGTCTCCTGCACCCACCGACTGAGCCAGAGGGCCTCCCAAGAAGTAGGTGTGGGATTGGCCTGGTGTCAGCTGTGTGCCTCACTCCTGACCATGAATAGTGTTGGGGTGACAGGTGGATGGGTGGTTGGGTGACACGGCTGCTGGGCTTCCAGGAAAGGTCAGCAGGGCATGAGTCTCAGGGCCAGTGGACGTCCGTGTAGCCTCCTGCTTGCCCTTCAGCTCTGGGCCAGTGCGTTCTTTTAGGACGCATGTTGGGGTTTATTTTACTGGGCCCCTGACTTCAGATATGTACCTCCTTGCTGAGGGTTGGTGGGCAGGGCACTGAATGGGGAATGAACAAGACCTGGGCCTTGAATCTGCTTAGGCTGGGCCTGCGCTCGTCTGCCTGGGGGTCGGTTTCCTCATCTGTCGTGCCTGCCTGCTTGCTTGAGTCTGATTAGAATCTCAGCTTTGTAATTCTAAAACCTCAGGGTCCCAGAGCTGGGAAGGGAATGTCCACGCTATCGAGTGCAGCTCTTTTTTTTTTCTTTTTTAAAATATATTTTTATTGATTTCAGAGAGGAAGGGAGAGGGAGAGAGAGATAGAAACATCAGTGATGAGAATCATCAATCAGCTGCCTCTTGATCCCCACAGGGGATTGAGCCCGCAACCCGGGCATGTGCCCTGACTGGGAATCAAACCATGACCTCCTGGTTCATAGGTTGATGTTCAACCACTGATCCACACCAGCCAAGCTCTAGTGCCACCCTCACCAGCTGCGGGCTGCCATCCCCTCACCAGCATCCCAGACAGATCCTCCAGCTTCAGACTGCGCTGCCTGGCTGGGGAGCTGCCTTCCTCAGGGGCTCTTATCATTAGTTCTTCCCTGTGCTGGGCTGAAATCTGAACCCTCTAGTAACTTTTACCCCTGGTTTCTGTTTCACCTTCTGGAGCTAAACATAACAAGCCTCTTGGCTAAAATGTTTTGAGAATTGAAAAGTGCCGTGCAGGTATCAAGTGGTTCTTCATGTGTCTTTCAGGCCACCTTCTCGACTCCTTTGCGCGCTCAGCGTTGTGGGATTCGGGCTTGGATTACCTGCACGGGACGGGACACGGTGTGGGGTCTTTCCTGAACGTTCACGAGGGCCCCTGTGGCATCAGTTATAAAACGTTTTCCGACGAGCCGCTGGAGGCGGGCATGATTGTCACTGACGGTAGGCGGCCCTCCCCTAGGACGCGAGCATGGATCCTCTAGTCTCTGTGAAGACCCTTTGTTGTTTCTTATATTTTAATTATTTTAAACTAAACTGGAAATAATTTCCCCTTGTCATCTTGAATTAAACACCTTATTTGATTATAAAAATGGTAACATGTTCACTGTAGAAAAAGTGACACATTGGAACATCTGAAGAAAAAAGAAATCATTTGTAATCTGACCACCCAAGGAAACAGGACTTAATATTTCAACATGTTAGCTTTTGGTCTTTTGTATATGTACATATTTTTTTTAAATATATTTTTATTGATTTCATAGAAGAAGGAAGAGAGAGACAGAAACATCAGTGATGAGAGCGAATCATCCATCGGCTGCCTCCTGCATGCCCCACATTGGGGATTGAGCCCGCAATCGGGCATGTGCCCTGACCAGGAATCAAACCATGACTTCCTGGTTCATAGGTCAATGCTCAACCACTGAGCCATGCAGGCTGGACTCTGTTTTCTTAATATATTGCCTATTGCCATATCATCACCAAGTTTTTGTGAATGTATTTGAATGCCTGCATCATTATGCCTCTCGCATATGCATTGGGATTTACTTGGTGGCTCCCCAGTTACTGTCCTCCCTACCCTGCAGCCAGTTTTCAGGAACCTCAAAACCTTTCGGTACTTCAGGTCCTTATTAGAAGGGGCCACATGGGAGAAGGGCCATCTCTGAGCTCTTGCATCGGGTTGAGTGGGCCCTTCACCTGTTTTACCCCCTGTTTGGGTGGGCAGGCCTCTCTGTGTGCCTCCCCTTCCTGGACTGCTGCTCATTTGGGCTTTGGTTTGCTTCAGAGCCAGGGTACTATGAGGATGGGGCCTTTGGAATTCGCATTGAGAATGTGGTCCTGGTGGTTCCTGTGAAGACCAAGGTGAGTAATTGATGTATTTATTTACTTTTAAAATTTCCTTATTCCTTAAGTGGGGAGGACGGAGACTTTTATGCTTGGAGCTTCCTTTCCCTGATATCCGGGGACTTTCCTGGGACTCACCCTCTGCAAAGCCAGAAGGAAAATCCTTAATGAACTGGGACCTGGGAATGGGATCAGTGGAGCCTCAGGCAGGCCCCTGCTCGGCGTGATTTGTGGCTGTGAGTTTACCAGAGGCAGCGTCTTATCACGAAGTCTCCTCTGCTGGGCGGATGCTTGTTTAAAGGCCCCTCTCAGACCCTGAATCAGTTTCCAGGCCTGGAAACTATTTTTCACTCAAGCCCCGGGGGATTTTTCTCAGGTAAAGCCAAGGCACATGGGTGGGGCCCAGGGGCTGGCCGTGGGGCAGGTGTGTTGCCCTCAGGAAGACAGATGTTCACCTTCTCCCCCATCAGTATCACCAGGAGGTCACGGGGCTGTAGATGTGAGCTTTACCTGAAAGACCTGTTTGCTCCTCCTCCATGGTGACTGTGGGGATTGAACAGGTGGAGGGGAGTGGCTTCCATGCCTCCGGTGAGGCTGACTGCAGGGGCCTGCTCTCTGCTTCCACGCGGAAGTCCCTGTCCACGCAAGTGGCTGCTCGCCTCCCTCCCAAAGACCTGCCTGGGACAGAGACCAGTGTGCTTGGGCGCCCCGGCTGTTCCCTATCGCTCAGAGTGGGCACACCTGTTACCTCAGGCCTGGCTGGGTCAAGGCTGGCCACATATTTGACCATTTAACAAATGATTTGGGGAATTATACCCCAGCAGAGTCTTGAGAACCGAAACCAGGGAAGCCCCTGAGCCTAGATGCCCCCCTTCCTTGCCCCCACTCCCCTGCCGTCACAGAGGACAGTGGGCTGTGGCCTCAGCTGTGTCCATCGTGCCTGCCATGCCTGTCAGCTACACCTGGCTCCGAGGGCTGGCCACGCTGGTGGGGCTGACCTCACGGTGGTGCCTTGTGGTAAAGGGGAGTCAAAACTTCTGTTTCCTTCCTTACCCCACAGTATAACTTCAGCAACCGGGGAAGCCTGACCTTTGAACCTCTAACTTTGGTTCCGATACAGACCAAAATGATAGATGTGGATTCTCTTACAGACAAAGAGGTAACGAGGGAGTCCTGGGGAGGGCAGCGTGGGGGAGGGGGAGAGCAACCTCATACTCTTCTGCATTCTCACTTTTTAAGTCCGAGGTCGGGGGCCGGCTGAGTCTGCTAATCCCGGGTCTCCTGAGCACGAGGTGCTTTTCTTGTAGTTGTTGGGCCTCTGGGTGGAGATAGTCCTTCTCCCGCCCCCATTGTGGGGCTGTAGGTTCGCAGGGGGACGCCTGCCTGGTGCCGTTGTTTTCCAGGAGGGCAGGAGCCACGGCTGCCTGAGCAAACGTGGGCCACCTGTCTTCCCTACAAAAAGCCAGACGGTGGTGGGGCCTGTGGGCTCTTGCACACAGCAGATTGTTTTCTTGTGCTGCCTGAGGCATTAAGGAAATGAGAAGCAACTCTGTTCCCGTCCGCCTGAGTTTCACACAGAGAGGTGGTGCCTGCTCTCCCCGACACTCTGGGCTGTAACGCCCTTCACAGAGCAGGAGCCCAGTGGTGTCACCTATCGAGCTCACAGGGTTGCAGGCCTTGAAGCCCCTTCAAATCCTAGGGTGGCTCCCAGGCTCATGAGGCCAGGGAAGTGGCAGGCCCAGGACCCTGGAGTAGGGCTGAGGAATCAGGCAGGTGATCAAGGTCAGAGCAGAGACAAGGGTGAAAAACCGGGCAGGAGCAACCAACAAAACAGTTCCCAGGCCAGGGAGACAAGCCAGGACACAAATTCTAGAACAAGGCAGGCGGTCAGAAGTGCCATCTAAAAGCAAGTGACTGGCGGGAGCCAAAGGCAGGACAGGCATAGAGGCTCCTGGAGAAAGACGACATTTTTGTGACCAAGGCAGCCACTGGACCCATCCCAGGGCCTTTGAGTGTCTCTGGAGGCAGGACCACATTCTCCGTGGGGCCTGTCTGGGCCTGGTGCTTGCCTCCGTGGGCCTGTGGCAGGGATCCTCCCAGCTAGACGCCTTTCCTGCCTTGTTTGGCTCACAGATGGGTGACAGAGAAAGGTCACCCACCTTTGCTTAGCTTTCCTCTATGCTCGGGCACCTCTGCTTGACCATCGGTGCCTTGGTTCAACCAAGCATTCCCACTCACAGGACCTAAGCGGGCCCTGCTGATGCAGGTTATTCAGCTTGTAGACGATGCAGAACTGAAAGCACCTGTGAGAGCCCAGGGCCAGGTGG